CCATTTGCTTCAATCTGCTTTTCTTCTCTGTTTCCCTTCCCTTCCATATTCCTTTGTTGAAACCAATGAAAAGAGAAAAACTTGGGGTGGGAGGCCCCTGTTTTATCTGCAAGGATAGACCAGACTGTGCTATGTCCTTAGGGCTTTAGTGAGCCTCCCTGGCCAACGTGACTTTGGCTAGCTGCTTGTTTCCTGAGCTGGCATCCCAGGTGTCCTCATCTGTACCCTATGTGGTCAGTGCTTGTGAACCCAGCACATGGCTGCACGTGAGGACTTTGTAATGGCTGATGTTCATGATTAATGAGGGCAGTAAGTATTAGTGTAGCCATGGACATGTAGTGGAGTCTCTGTGAGCCAAGACAAGTGGCCCAAGCTTTGCAAAATTCAGATCCTGGCCTATTCTTGAGCTCATATTGACAGAGTCTCAGGAGTTTCCACTGGTCAGTAACAATATGAATAGTAAGTGTGGAAGTGTGATGGCTGATGTTTTCGATGCCTTGTGCTTGTGAGCTGGGGTCTGTGAGGATGAGTGTGAAGCTGCGAGACCATGGCATGTTAACTCAGCCACATGAGTCCTCTTTCCTCGTCCTCATCTAGACCGTTATGAGTATTGATGAGTCTGTGCTGTGAAGCACCTAGCACAGAGCCCAGCACTGAGTGAGTATGCCAGAGCGGGTGCTGGTGCTGGATCATGAGGCTTCTTGCCTTAAAGGTGAGGAAACTGAGGTTCTGAGAGGGTGGTGGCCATACGAGCCTGTCCTTATGCCTGTCCAACTTCTACTCCAGCTTCAGTTGTAGCTCTTGGGCCTGGGGGTTGTAGCCTGTGCTGCTGTTCAAGGTGGTGGGTTTTGTTGGGCTGTGGCCTCTGTGAGCACTGTGCATTCTGCAACCCAGGACTCTGAGGGCCAGAGGGGAAGAGCAGCCCAGTATGGGGGGAGAGTCCTGTGGAGACAGTGGGCAAGCAATGGAGCAGTGCTGGAGGGACTTGGAGAGAGCAGAGGCCATGGATTCTTCCTGCTTGAGCAGTGTAGGGTGAGAGTGTAAGAAAAAGTTGAACTTTTTTAGGTTGAACCTGTGTGGGTTAGGGAAGAGCTATTCACACCCTCACTTGACGAATGGGGGAACTGAGGATAGTCAAGTGACCTGAGCTGGGATGGGTCCTGGTCTTCTCTGCCTCGAGCACCCTCTCCTGGGTCCAGGCACTGGGGGAGGTGGGGTTGGTGTCAGGCCTAGCTCAGCTTGGTGACTTGGCTGGGCACAACTGGGTTAATCATTTTAGAAGCTGAAGAAACTCTTGGGCCACTGGAGTTTGCAGGCCTTTGTCGCATCTCCCCCAGCCCTGCCCCCACCTCGTCCCTAAGGAAAACAGTGGCCCCTTGTTTCCTCTGAATTCTGAACTCCGGGCGCCGCACAGAACGGATCCAGCATGGGCCCCACAGGGTGGCGGGACTTGGAAATGGAGTGCCCACTGCCCTCCTCCGGCGACAGCGGAGCAGGGAGCAGGGCCCAACAGTTTACAGGTTGCCTCGCACCTTCGCCTTTCATTGAGAAACCCTGGCTCTTGCCGAGAGTAACACATCAGACCCCTTCCTCCAGGGGCAGCAGGAGTCCCTGGGAAGGTTCTCTCTTCTGGGGGCAGAGTGTGATCAGGAAAACAGATATTTTGACATGCTCACTTAGGCCCGAGTCCCCACCCCATGCTATCTGTGAAATCATGCCTCTGTCGCGTTCCCCTCCTCTGCGGTATCCGCCCTCTGTAGTGACCCCTCCTCCGTGGCGTCCTCTACTCTGTGGCATCAGCTTCTCTGTGGTGTCCCCTCCTCTGTGGTCTCCCCTCCTTTGTGGTGTTCCTTTCTTTTTGATGTCCCCACCTCTGTTGTGTCTCCTCCTCAGTTGTGTCTTCCTCTGTGCTGTCCCCTCTCTGTGGTGTTCCCTCTTCTGTGCTGTCCCTCCCCCCCCATGTGGTGTCCCCTTCTCTGTGGTGTTCCCTCCTCTGTGCTGTCCCCTTCTTTGTGTGGTGTCCTCTCCTCTGTGGTGTCTCCTCTTCTGTGATGTTTCCCCCTGTGTGTGGTGTCCCCTCCTCTGTGTAGTGTACCCCTGTGGTGTCCCCCTCCTCTTGATGTCTCCTCCTCTGTGTGGTGTCCCAGTCTCTGTAGTGTCCCCTCCTCTTTGTGGTGTCCCCTCTGTGATGTCCCCTTCTCTGTGTGGTGTCCCCTTCTCTGTGTGGTGTCCCCTCCTCTGTGGTGTCACCTCCTCTTTGGGTTCCCTTCATCTGTGGTGTTCCCTCCTGTGGTTGTCCTAGTCTCGGGTCAGCCCTTTTTCCTCCGATGTCCCCAGAGCTTTCTGTGGGCTGCATCTGAGGGCCCTTCCCCTCTTTTCTCACCATTGGAGAAACTGAAACCTCTCTGAGTTATGTTAGGGGACAGACCCCTTTAGGATGATGGTAACATGTCTGGCCCCTGAGGAAACAGTGTTGAGGAGACTTCAAAGCCTCAGCTGCTAAAGAGGCAGCCATGCTGCAAGATCCAGGCCTGTTGTGTGTTCTGAGTTCTGTTCTTGTGAACGGGCTTTGCTGGCATAACATGCCTGGAGAATACACAGAGGAAGGTGGCCAGTTTCCAGGACTCAACTGTTTACCTTCGGCGGAGCAGCCGGGGATGCAGAGAACTTTTTTTCCAAACAGCCCCGGGTTGTCACATCTACAGGCCTCACCCAAGTCAGATGCAGATGCCTGGGTGTCCCCTGGCTCCTCTTGGGCTGATTCTGACCCCCATGCTGCAGAGAGACCCAGAGAGCTCTTCAGACATGGGTGGTGGTGTGGGTGACTCCTTGACTGGGTTTCCTCCCCATTGGCAGCTGTTGAGAGGTCTGAGAATGCTGGCCTCTTGTTTGTGGAACCTCACACTGGAGCCTCAGGCTTAAGCAGATGCAGGGCTGTGTCCAGCTTCCCTTGAGAGCCTGCTGTGCTCTGCCACTGTGCCACTACCCGCCAGCTTCTCCACCTGCCTTCAAATTTTGCTTCTCTGTGATGGGAATGTAATGTGGAATCTGTGAATAGGGCCTTGCATTTCCCTTTTTCTAACAGAGCAGAAACCGAGGCAGGGGGATGATGCGCCGGGGTTGGCTGGTAGAGGCTGATATGTGGGCATTGCTGCATAACCCCTGTCCAGGCCACAGCGAGGCCCCTTTCCCCTGCATGGCCAACCTTGCTTGGTCTTTCTTCCTTCCTGGGCCTTAGTGTTAGCTGTACAGTGAGAGAGTTGTCCCCAGCTCCTGAGGATGAGCAGGTACCCGCGTCTCAGGAGGTCTCGGGAGCCCCTCTCCTTCCCTATCCTGGAGCCCCAGAGTTGGGCCACTGCTGGCTGACTGACCTGTCCTGGTGTGGTTTTGTTTTGCACACAGACTGGTCACCATGGGAAGAACATTCTTCATTATTTTCTTGTTGTGAGGTCTAAGAATGTCTTTTCTAAATAGGGGAAACCCTTAACATCTTTCCTGGTGGACAGTGGGAAAGAGGAGAATGGGATGTGGCACATTCCAGGGGCTCGGCTGAAAGCGAGTTTAGTAAAGACTGTTCAGGGAAGTTAGTGAGAGACACAGGGCAGGGCTGGCGTGTGTGGCAAGCATCCCCACCTCAGCCCAGGACAAAGGTGCTGAAATGTGCCTGGGACTGTGAGGTTGTGGCAGTCTTGAGAGAGGGGATATGATGGGGGCTGGGTGTGAGGACAGGGGGAGCATGTGCTCTCCCTCTCTCCTCCCCCATCTTCTGCTCCAGGTGCCTCCAGCTGGCCTGACTTGGCAGGACGACAAGGTAACCAGGTGGTTGTGACCCTGGAGGACTAGGGGAGGGGCTGGGTGGCCAGCACCACTTATTTATTTATTTGTTTGTTTGTTTATTGGAGTCAGAGTCTCTCTCTGTCACCCAGGCTGTAGTACAGTGGCACACTTATAGCTACCGCAACCTCAACTTGCTGGGCTCAGACAATCCTCTCCTCCACCTCCCAAAGTGCTGGAATTACAGAACCAGCACCACTTTAGATCTGCATTTGCATCCGAGCACCACTGCTTTCCTGTTGTGAAGTTTTTTTATTGTTGTGAAATTTTAAAAGTCTCTATCCTCTAATTTCCTCATTTGTAAAATGACATCATAGTGGTTGTTAAATAAAATGAAGCAAATTCACGCAAGCTTTGAGCATGTTGCCTCCTCCAAGCATCCTTGTAGCTGTTCTGTGGTATCTAGTGGTAACTTAGAATAGCCAGCCTTGGATCCTGGGGGTTGGAGGAAGGTGGGGCTCAGGGCCTTCTGTGGCCTCTGCTGAGGTCATGTGGGGAGGTCAGCCAGGTGCTGGGTTGGTGCCACTGCCTTGGCGGAGCTGGCCTTGCAGTTGGCAGTGGTCGCATGCTAGGTGGCAGACACCTGGCAGGTTAGGCAGTATGGTGTCAGGCTGCATGGCTGTCAGCGGGGCATCTGTCATGAGAGCAGGTGAATGACTGTCTGTCAGCTGCAGGCTCAGGTCCCTTGGGGTCTGATCTTTCCAGCCTCCTGCTCTTGAAAAAGCAAACATTCCTCAGCAGAGCAGGGAGCAGGGCCAACAGACTGCAGACCGCCCTGCACCCTCACTTTTCCTGACAGTCCAGATTGGTGCGTGCAAGTGCTGGTCTCTCCAGGTGGCAGTTCCTGGATTCACCAAGACCTCAGCTTTGATGACGCTTATGGAGTTCATTGAAGAGTGTGCATAGGGCCCAGTTCTGACCCACCTGTGTGGCGCTCATTGTCTTGCTCAGCCTCTCTGAGCTCTCATTTCCTAAGTTCACTCCATATGTCCTTTCCCGGCATCCCTTGCTTGGCCCGTAGATATTTGGTCCCTGAACTCCTTTTGTGTCCATCTGCATCCCCAGTGGTATGGGGCCTGCCCTCGAGGATTTGTGGAGAGCTACAGGTCTCAGAGGCTGGTCCCATCTGTTTCACATGAGTGTCAGCCCTCCTCTGGCCCCTCCAGAGTACTGCAGAGGGGCCCCAGGGTCCTCTGGGGCATGCCCATGGCAGCAGAACAGGCCATAGACACAGGTGTTGAACAGCCCCTTTTCTGTCTTCCTGTCTTACAGCTGAACCTCAACCGGCCGATTGAGGAGCAGGGACCTCTGGATGTCATCATCCACAAGCTGACTGATGTCATCCTCGAAGCTGACCAGAATGATAGCCAGTCCCTGGAGCTGGTGCACAGGTTCCAAGTGAGTGAGCACATGTGGCTCTCGCTGCGGCCCACGGGAGGTAAAGGGGGAGGCAGAATGGCTGTGTATTTTCAGAGTCACGGCAGCTGCCATGGATGTGGCTCTGCTGCTGGCAAGATGTGGGCTCAAGGGCAGGTACCACCTCAGTCTCATTCGGTGTAGTGGGGGTACTGAAACTGCCCCTATCCCACCCCATCAGCATAGGCATGGCCCTGTTAGTGACTCCTACTGGCACAAGGTGGAACCCTTTTTCTGTACTTGGAGAGGGGGATAAGGGACCCCTAAACCGAGTCCTGCCTCGGCGAGAGCCCCCTCTGCCCATGACCTTGACCCTGTGTGCTTGACTTTGAGCATGACTTTGACATGTTTCACTGCGTCGTTGGGCTGTCTTCCACCCCCACTTCCCATCAGCCCCCTGGGTTCTGACCCCATGCTGACCTCCCTACCGCCTGGGGGTTTTCAGTCCCCTACTTGGGTTCCCTGTGCTTTCTCTGTTGTGGACAACAACGTGATTCTTTCCTCTGGAGAGCAAGCAACTTAGAGGTCATGAAAAAAACAAAGTTGTATTATCAGTGAAAATGCACCCGGAACAATGGCTTTTTGCGGGCCTGCCTGGTGGGGTGGGCGGTGCTCAAGCTAGCGCTTTTCCATGAATGACACCTGCTTTTCCTTACCAGGATAAAGGGGCTCTCATCCGCGTCCTCGTCACCTAGGGTTGTCCTGCTGAGAGCATTTTCCCTATGCACTCAGGGCCAGTCCCCCAGCCCTCCATGCTTCCCCACTTCTCTCTTGTTCCCTGGCCAGCTCCCTTCTGTAGATCCTCGCTTCCTGCCTGCAAGTGGCCCCAGAAGCAGGTGCAGCTTCCATCTGTTAGGCAGTGTGTCCTTTCTTAGGGCTGGAGGCCGGCAAAGACATGGCTCCACTGTGATTCTGTGGAGCCTCAAGTTTTCTTATTTGTAAAATGGATGCTGGTAGTAGGAAGACCCTGAACCATGTTGGGAGGAGAAACCTGAGTGAGAGCACAGAGTGAGACAGAGATGATATGTGCCCCGTTGGTGGGCTGCCTACTGAGCTTCTGTCCCAGACTAGGGCTTGGCTAACAGGCATACACCCATGTGCAGCATTTGATCCACCTCCTGGGACAGAATCACCGCTGTAACAGGAAACAGAGCTCGGAGCACACACAGCTTGGCCACTGGGACCTGGCAGAGCCAGGTTCAATCTTTTTGGACTTTCTAGGGTGACTCACTGCCCATCCCTGGTAGGACTGGCTTTTCTCGGGCCCTGCATGTCCCCATGTCTTAGGATACAGCCCCAGCTGGCCATAGGTGAAGTAGTGGCCTTCGGCGCCCCTGCCATCCACTCTAGCCTCACTTCTACTCATTTCCTGCAGGTGACCCGAAGGGCCCGGTTCTTGTGCCCATGATGCTCTTGGCGGCTGTCCTCTGGGGGAGCATCACTAAGTCAGGTTGCCACACGGACCTCTGGTCAGGGGTGATGCGTCTCCTGGTGGATCTACCGGGACGGTGGCCTTCAGACACTGTTGGGAGGGTGAGTTACATGTGGCAATAGCAGCAGTTCCTCACATATAGCAAGAAACACTCAGAGTGGTCCCCACGCAGTGGCCCTGCAGGAGGCACCTCAAGGGCCATCCACCTGCTCCCCAGGCAGTGGACTGTGCCAGCTCTCTTGTGCAGGTGAGGAGGCGGGTGTGGGCAAGTCATGCCTGCCAGGGCTCCAGCTAGGAAGTGACTGAGCCGGGCTTCCAGCCTCCCATGGCCTCTTCAGAGATGGCTGAGGCCTAGGACTTGGGAGTTGAGCTGCCTGGGAGCCAGGTCTCTGCTCCAGAACTCAGAAGCCACCCAATCCCCCCAAACCTCAGTTTGTCTAGTGTGACTGGTTCCTTCCTCTCTGCGTGGGTGGATTGCTGGGAGGCATGAACATGCCCATCATGCTGAGAACTTGCAGCCTCTCCTGCTGCTGTGCCATTGGTTACACCCACGGGATTATTTCTGCTACCCTATCTTCCTAGATCAAGGGCCACTACCTCCAGCTAGCATGGACTAAGGTTCTGGAGCAATGACCCCCAGGGGACAGTTCATATCTGCCCTTCCCCTAAACACAGAGCCTGCAGCCCAAGGCATATGAGGGCTGAACAGTGAATGAGAGCTGTGTCCCTGTGTTCCTATTCTGGGCAGAAGAGAGCCTGTTAACAGAGCTAGGGAGTGTCAGGGACAGCATGAGGACATGCAGCTAAGACTATCAGCCACGGCCATCTACCAGGCAAGGTCTTGGCTGAACTCCTGGTCTGTCCGATCTTGGGCACATCCCCGGCCTTGGCCAGGGGCAGGTGGAGATGGCTGTGGTGACCTCACCATAACCTCCCAGCACCAGTGTTTCTGGGATCAGTGTTAAATGCAGAGTGCTTCAGTGAGAGGCCGGATATCTGATAAGGCAGGAAGTTTCCTCCTTTGTGAAGAGAACAATTCTTTGGGGAAAAGGGTGCCAGGCTGCTCTTTTCCAGAGGCCCCAGGAAGAGAGGAGACCAGCAGGGGCTGGTGCACCCTGAGAGACACAGGGTGAGGGCTGGGGAGGCTATTTCCTGCCACCAGGTACAGGCTGTCCACGCTGATCTGGCCACGTCCCTCTGCCGTAAGATGAGAGAGATATAAGTTCAGAGCTGACCACAGACACAGGGAGGCTGATGCCTAACCTTGATCGTGTCTTTTGTTTTCAGGATCTGGTTTTAATCTTCATTCTCCAGACATAAAAAAGGGGCCTGAGTGTGGTTCAGGGATGGGGAGGGGTGGGGTGCTGCATTCAGAGGCAGGGGAAATGGGACCTAGGGCTTGGGTTCCCACACAGAGCTGTGAGCAGTGGCCCTGAGCAAGGGTGCGTTGCCCAGAGGGGATCTGCTAGAAGGGCCTTCTCCAAAAACAGTATTCGGGGTCCTGGAGGAAGGGGCCTAGGCTGTGGGTGGGGAAGAGGAATTTCCGAGATGCTCCTGATGGCCCTAGGCTGCTCCTGGGGCTGCTCCTGGTAAGCCTCTATGCCTGGGTGGAGGGAGGTCCCAGAGCCTAGAGGCTGTGCCTCCTTAGGCTACCCTGGTGGCAGGTTGGAGGGTGCGGGCTTATTGCGAGCATTCGAGCTGGTTGTCATAGAACCTTCACTACTACCTGAGGTCTTTTGTTTGGGTGGGTTTTTGTTTGTTTGTTTTACTTTTTGATTAGTCTCATAATGTCTTAGAGACTCAACTGGGATGATTCCAGGGTTTTTCTGCTCCAAAGTTCACAGGGAGCCAGCAGCAGGTTGGCTTATCAGTGTCCAGATCCAGGCCAGGTCCCCAGGCCCTGCCCACGTGGGTGAGCAGGGATAGCACAGTGGGGAGGTCCCTGCCAGGTCCAGGGACCCCGGGGCCTCCTGGCGTGTTGGGAGCCTTCCTAGGGGGAGTGGCACAAGCTGCCTCCTTGAGTGACACCCAGACCACCTGTCAGGTGTGGCCGCAGGGTAAGAGGGACCACCCTCCTCTCCTGCTGCCCCTTCCAGGCCTGGAATTGTCCCGAAGGGCTGCAGTAGTTGTATTCACTGGGCACGTGCCCTCTTGGGGTCTTCCCGGGATAGACCAAAGAGGTTTTAGTCTAAACCATTTGCCTTCTCCCTGATTAGCTGGAAGGATAGCAGTTGTCCCCCAATGTCCTGGATGCCAGTGGCACACAGTCTGCGAGGATCATGTCCTGCGCAGCACATAGTTTGTGGAGTGCCTTACTTGTGAGCCCCAGCCAGGAGGGGAGGTCATCGGACAACCCCAGAGCTGCCCTCACAGCCCCTGGAGTGAAGAATTAGCAAAACACAGGTCTGATCCCAGCACAGCCTGGATAAAATTGCTTCACACTTTCTTGTTGCGGTGACACTCAGACTGTAATTGCTAACATGGACCACAGGGCCCAGTGATCTGGTGGCGTCACCCCCAGCTTCATCGCGTCACACCCACCCCTTCCCTGACAGGTTGGCCCTACGACAGCAACTGCTCTGGCACTGACCTGTGCTTGCTTCAGTGCCTTTGTTCCCTCTCCTCAGCACCCCTTCCTGAGCAATGTCTCCTGATTATCTGACTGGTGCTGCCTTGCCTGTCCTAAGCTGTCCTAACCATGAGCTTTCCTTGATGCCATTCCTTTAATTTTGTTTTTGTTTTTTGAGTCGGGTTACACTCTGTTGCCCAGACTGGAGTATTGTGGCATGATCCCGACTCACTGCCTCCTCGACCTCCTGGGCTCAAGTGATCTTCCTGCTCAGCCTCCCGAGTAGCTGGGACTATAGGCATGTACCACCTTGCCCAGCTAATTTTTTGATTTTTTGTAGAGACAGGGTCTAACCATGTTGCCCAGGATGGTCTTGAACTCCAGAACTCAAGCAATCCTCCCGCCTCAGTCTCCCAAAGTGCTGGGATGACTGATGTGACCTCACTGAGCCTGGCCCTTAATACCATCCTTTAGTTGTTGCTCTCATCTGTCCCTCACTGGAACAGGGCTGCATTTGCTTCCAGCACCTGGTGTTTCCGTTGCTACCCGTGGTGCCTGGTATGTGGGGAACATGCCTGACTGTTAAGCTGAGATGCACAGGGGCACTGATCTGCTGCTGGGAGCCTTGCACAGGGGGCTCCGGTGGGCCAGTGGAAGGGGATGTGGCTCTGCTGGGCAGCAGGGAGCAGGGAGGGAGGACGTCAGGAGGGTTCAGGAGGCAGATGGCACTGCCAGGTAGGTGTGACAGTGCCTCAGGGCAACAAAGTTAGAGGGGTGGCAGGGCCGGAACTGCGGGGCTTTCTCATGCCAGGCTGTGGAGCTTAGACTTTATCCTGCAGGGAGGGAGTGGATGAGGGTGGGGCAATGGGATGGGGCCCTTAAGATTAGATTTAATTGGCAAGCAGGGACATTGCCAGTACAGCATGAACTCAGCAGGTGGGGATACTACTGGGTGTTTCCAAGATGAAAAGGGAGCTGCTG